GGTCTGCGTCATTAAGACTTCCTTCCAAAAAGCCTCTCAACCCATGAAGCACTGTTTTTAGAAGGTATCGGAGGGGTATAAGCGCATTTTGGCACCAAGCGCTGCCGGGCATGCCATCGACGCTGTGAATACTGTCAAAAACTGCTGCGCTGAGCGGTGGGCTGTTGTTCTGTCCGTTTTGCCTTTGCTGTGGCTGGCTCGCGTGCTGCGCGGCCCTTGCTTTGTTCCCGTTGGTTTTCGCGCGGCCCCAGGTACAAAACGCTGCTATTTACGGTGTTTTGTTGCATTTGCGTTTCCGGGCTGGCTTACAAAACACTCTTGTTGGGCTGCTCTTTTTTGGGCTTCTCTTCCTTCTGGGTTGGGGCCCGGCTGGGGCCACAAAGCTGGCATCCCCGGCATCATCTGGGGTTGGGGTGGGCAACATGCATAACCTAACCAGCCATATCAGCACAGGATACGTTTCTCACACAAAAAACATGACATGACATGGTATAACTTCAAAGAGGCGTAGCCGGCTAGAGGCCGCAGGCCCAGAAAATTTGGGCGTGTGTTCTTTTGACGCGCCCGCGTCGGGAAGTTTACGCTGGCAAGCAGATAGCCGCAAGAAACCGAACCCAGCTGGCCTCTGGCGCTGCCAGGCGTGAACTAGAGAGCCGCGACAGGCTACACACCGAAGCCTGACACCTCACCAGTGGCCAGACCACGCTCTGCGGACGCGCAAACACCTGGCAGCAGCTCAGACGACGGCCGAACCCTGGTAGATGCAACACGTCCGCCAGGCAGCTGCGACAGACCACGCTTGGGACCCTCATCGGATTTCTACGCAGGAAGGGGTTCAGCGCACAAACCTCAAGCAGCAGGAGGCGACACTTGTACTTCACTAGGCTCCAGCAAGTAGACACGCACTCCTAGCAGATTGTGCGCGCGTTGCTTGTGCAAGTTTTCGCTTAGCAGTTCCTCCTCGCGCACCCCAGAGCTTCCTACCAGGCGCTGACAAGAACGGCGCTTGGTAGCAAATGGCTGCCAAAGGGTATGACTCGGGGTATGAACTGGGAATGAGTCGGGGGTGCGAGTCGCGGGGAAGATTTTTGCTCACGGAAAAACACAAGGCAAGCGTGGCTCAGAAAGCTTGCATGCGGGGCAGCTGCAAGCGGCAGTGCCCTTGCACTTGGGACAGGCCCTTCGAGCCACGTGGAGCTATGAAGCAGATCGCCGACGCGCAAGGTCGGTAAAACTCTGAACTCCGTTGCAGGAAGGGCAAGATGTGCAACTACGCGAGTGTCGCAATAAGCCGGCCCACACAAACTGTCAGCTGGCGCGGGACGAACTGTGAGCTAACCTGTAGCTCTAGTCGCTAGTTAGAATAGAACACTGCTTGGGGACAGACAGTTTATTGCATTTCCCGTAGGACAGGCCCTACTTGCATACTCTTGGCTAAGGCTTTCAAACAGGATTACAAGGTCAGCAGTTCTTGAACAGCCTTTATTTGATTTTTCAGGGGTGTGTCGGGGTATGGTTCGGGGGTGTGATTCGGGGGTATGGCTTGCCAAGGCCCCGCTTCCCACGTAGACTAATGAATGGGCGCGGCAAGAAACAAGGGCCCATTTCATTGGGTATCCCGAGAACAAGGCCATGCCACGATTCCCAAGTCCAAGCTTCCCGTATCAAAATACTGAAAGCTTTGCTGCTTTCCCTATAGAATCGAGCTCCCTGCCATCTACCACCAGTTGGTAGTGAAGTTGTCTTTCTAAGTCCTGAGCAAACCGTGAAAGCCTGCAGTATAGTCGCGCAACCCTGCGGCCCAAAGTCAAGCTCCTCGTCATTGGGAGACTCAGCTCTAGAGCGCGAAATGGCCCAACCTGTATGAACTTGCGCGCGCCATGCTGCCGTGAAGGCGCCAAAGCTAGAAATCTGACGCCGGCAGCCCAGCCTATAACTCGAGTTGGTCTTCCCACCTGCGCTCTTCAGCAAAGGTGGCACCATCGGGTTCGTTGCGTCCGCTGCCACTAGTGGACACGCGCAACCTTGCGAAGAACCCACTGAAGTGTCTCTAAAGTACATTTTAGCCATTGCAAATGTCTGATTCTATCTCACTGCCACTGCGCGCAGAGGCTCACTGAGCAAGAGGAACAGGAAAAGCCAAGCTCGCTGGACAAACAGCCACTTCTTGCGTTTCCCTTTCTGGAACTTTGCGAAGTTAGGACATCAGAGCCGAAGCTGTCAGAGTCCTCATAGGTTGGCTCCCTCCTCGGGTTCCCTTCAACACAGCCCCCTCGTGGGCTAGAGCGCCGCATTTCATCGCTGCCCAGGTTTCGCCGCCCCCGCCTGCTTTGCCAAGTCCTTGCCAAGGCAAAGAAAGTTGCCGTGGAACACAAGCACTTAAGGAGGAAACCTTGCACAGCACGCTTGCGCGCTTCACCAACTTTGGCGGGCAAATGACACAGAAGGGGTTGCCATGGGGCCTGCGCTGTTGACACGAAAAAACGCGCTCAAGCCCCCGCATCCTACGAAACACAAAGCAAACACCTCGAGGAAAAATCAGACACGAGCTTGTGGCTTGCGATTCGGGTGTCAGGATCTGACTTGCGTCGATCAGGTTTCTTTGACAACAGCTTTGCGGGAGGCCATCGCGTTCTTGGCGGGGGTCGCATGACATTCTCAAGCAAAAGAGCCAAGCCAGGCTAGACACATTCTTGAGAAGCGTAGCAGCTGCTAGAAACACTGAACGCAAGCTAGACATGCGCTAGCGCAGTACCAGGAGTGTGCAGCAATACGTTCAACAGAAGCTAGACACACACGGTACACAAAACCTAGACACATGCTACGCATTTGCAAAGCGGCCCGCGGCATTGCATATAATGCTAAAGCTAGACATACTCTAGTTCAGCGCTAGGAAGGGGCTCGAGAAACGTCATGGCCGCGCAAGGCTCGCAAACCACGCCAAGAGGGACATTCATGAGCAGGCATTTTTTCAAGGATTCAGTGAGCATTAGCTCGGCCAGCGTTGCAGCCATGTCATCAGTGAGTGAGGATTCATGGCATGAACTTCATGAGTCAGATTTACATTCAGGGCATGATGCAGATACAGAGCAGGCCGGGCAGGAGCAGGCTGGATCAAAGCTGGGGGCTGCTGAGCAGGAGGGTGAGAATGCAGCAGTGGATGAGGGTGCATCAGTCCAGCGAAATTGGGCCAACCAGTGCATTAGTGGGCATGACAAGGAGAATGAGGCATCGTGCTCGAGTAATCTAACTGGTCTGCTGGCATTGATGTTGCAGACGCACACTGGTGCCTGCATTATGCAGGCAGTGTGTGTCAGTTTGTCGAGCTGGAGAACCCTGCGTACTCAGATGCATGGTGCATCTGGGGCTGGGTGATTGAGTATGCGTCAAAAGGCTATTTTGTGGGTGATGAGATCAAGGCTTGAGTGTGATGTTGGAGACGCGCCATCAGAATTTGCATCAGCATCAGGCTCAGCACCAGCAGGACCCAGGATGAAATTCAGACGTCAACCGCAACATCCTGCGCATTCCCTCAGCATCCTGATGAGATCAGGTGTGAGTATGACAGAAAAAGGGTTCTGGTGGTGTGTGGTGGGCGGTTGTGGGTGGTGGTGGGTTGGTGATGGCCACGCCCTGCTAGGATCAGATCTTCATCAGGCCATTCAATCATCAGCAGCCTTTTGCACCATCAGATTGGAATATGTTCGTCTTTGGAGCCCTGTGAGGCCGACATGGAGCACCATCTGGTGATCAGGGAGTGCCTTGGCCACATGGGGCGAAATTAATTAGATGTGCGTGGGTGGAGGGTGCACACAAATCAGGCGATGTACCGCATCATGCTGCGCGCATTGTGGAAGACGCATCGGTTTGTGGATCATGCAACTTGGAGTCATCGATTAGTTAAGTATGCAAATGATTTGTTCTGCAATGGCACAGGTAGTCACATGAACATTGATGAACATTGTTCACTGCTCAAGCATGCAACATCGACAACTCAGCCTGGACATGTGCAAGGAAAGCAGGGTTTATGGAGAAGCGTGCCTTTGTCAGCAATCAGACTCATGATTCATGGCATGGAGGTTGCTTGAACCAGGTGTATAGTGTAAGGATCTCTGCGGATGCTTAAACTCTTGATATGGAGGCTTCCATGATTTGCAAAGGCATGTGGCACAGGTGCTCAGAGAGCCTCTTGGCTGATGCAAGGTAATTACATGAAGCATGATGATGAGCGTACGAGGTGATAAGGAACTAATTCGTTAGATGTGATCAGCTTACATAGTTACTGGGCTCAGGTATGATGATTAGATTGTGGATTCTGCCATATTGGTGGGCATGACACGATTGGCTTTATTCATTCCAGCCAGAATGGGATATGGCAATTCGTGCAGCATTGCTGGTTGCAAAGCTGCAGGCCCAGCAGTCCGTGAAGCAAATTCTAATTAAGTTGCATGATGATTGGGCTTGCTGTTTTCAACTAAGGTACCAGCAGCTGATTCGCAAGGTATGTGGGATGAAGGACAATGTGGCACATGAGAAAGAGCAGTTCGTCAGGAAGAATGCCAACAGGAAGGAATGGAGTCAGGAGCAATTCCATCCAGAGCATTGGTAAAAAATGCGCTTGAAACTAGCAAGTGCTGAGGATCAAGCTCATCAAGGCATACCAGGCCATCGATGGCAGGATGCAGCAGCTGGTGTGCCTTGGAATTTTCAATCCAGAATCAGCAATCAAAGAACTGTTAGCCATCATTGATTGAGGAAGCTCTATGAGCACTACAATCAGCAATTGGTCAGTGGGAATTGGACATTCCCTTGCAGCCCATGTAGTGATTCCAAGGGAGATGACCAAGATCGACCAGCCGTGCCTCAGCAAGCAAGCATTTGATGAGTTTGATTAATTATCAGCAAGCAATCAGCAGGATAAATAGTTAACAACATCAGTAGGCAACACACATGTCAATAGTGCGCAAATAAGGATCCAGGAAAGCGAGGCTAAGCCTGATGCAGCCAGGAAAATGTGACTTGACAGCGCACGATGAATGCAAATTGCAATGGAAGGGGACCTTGGTTCCTTGTTTGGTTGTGCAATGCAAGGCGCCATTCATCAGCTGGTATGGCACAAGCGGGTGCCTTGCAATCAATAGACGGGGAGTTGCATGGCCATCAGCAAGCATGCAGTTCATCAAGCGCAGTGGCAGCGCAATACAATCCAAGGTGCTGGGCTTTTTGGTCAGAGGCTATGAGCCCTGGAGAAAAATGATGCAAGGCATCATGAGTGATGCAAGGCATCATGTTTGGCACCCAAGGCATCATGAGTGGAAATCAAGGCAATCAGGCCGTCAAGGATTCATGGTCATGAGGGACATCAAGAGCCAATGACACCATGCATGTTGGGCTGCTCAAGCTGCAATGCAGTTTCACACCGTATCCAAGTTCAGCTACTGCATTAGGAGCAGCAGCATGGTTAATTATTAAACCATTGCTCAGGAATCCAAACCAAAAGGCGCAACTTGTTAGGAGACATAGGGCATTTTCGCGTGGGTGGCCATGAAGAAGAGCATGGAGGCTGTAAGGAGCACTGTGTGGGGGTACTTGAGCTTTCAATGTCACGAGCAGCAGGCAAACATCTCCATGCGCATCACGGAGCAGTAAGCAAGGCTGATGAGGACCGGGCACAGGGAAGGGGCACTGGGAAATGGAGAAGGGATGGGAAGCTGAGATGATGCATGGTTTGATTGATTCAGTATGAATGGTCGTGGTTACAGAATGGCTTCCAAGTGTGGGAATTCATTTGATGAGATCGATAATGGATGCAAAAATGGCCTGCAAAAGAGGGGCAGCGTTGCTTGCATGAGCTGTGATTGCATGAAGGAAATTTGGCACGATTCCTTGCCTGCACAGGACATGGGCGAGCAAAAAGATGACTGCAACCATCAGCCAGCAGGATGAGGCCTGGATTGAAGGGATCAAGGGGATTGATACAAAAGAAGGGAAACTGGATGACCCTAATTGAGGGGATCATATTTTTTCAAAGGGGAATCTGGTTAGCATTTTTCAGGGTCTGGTTAATATTTAATGCATCAGGGTTCATGGGGGATACCCTTGCTGCCAGGGTCAGTGTGTTGATTTTGATGGTCAATCAAAGGAATGTGTAGATTTGGGATGAATCTAAAACCAAGTGTGGGATGAGCCAAGTGGAATAGAAAGCTTGACCATGAATAAAGATAAGGGGGTCAGATAACTAATTCATCAATTCCATGTGATGACTTGCAAATCTGATTGGCAGGTGCTGGATGAGAAGCAGGTGCTGGAAACATGAGCCAGCAGGATGAGGCCGAGCCAAGTGGAATGGAAAGCTTGACCATGAATAAAGATAAGGGGGCCAGATCCATTTTTTGATGGAATCTGGTTAGCCAGGCTATTATTTAGCGCATCAGGGTTCTCAATGTGTTGATTTTGATGGTTTTTAAAGGTCCTTTAAAAGAAATGGATCCCGTAAGTTTGTGGACTTGGGATAAATCTAGAATCAAGTGTAGGATGAGCCAGGTGGAATGGAAAGCTTGACCATGAATAAAGATAAGGGGGCCCGAAAGCATGGCGAAGGGTCACTTGAGTCGTTCTCATGAGAGTCATTACAAGGTGTCATTGCAAGGAATCATCATCATGAAAATCATTGCAAGGAGTCATTGCAAGGAGACAATGCAAGGAGTTGTTGCAAGGAGTCATTGCAAGGAGTCATGAGAGTCATTGCAAGCTGCAAGGAGCCAAGTGCATGGAGTCAAGTGCAAGTTGCAAGTGCAAGTTGCAAGTGCATGGAGTCAAGTGCAAGTTGCAAGTGCAAAGGGTCAAGTGCAAGTTGCAAGTGCAAGGAATCAAGTGCAATTGACTTGCGAGGAGTGAAAATCTCTTCTTAGGGCGGCGGGGTCGTGCCGACGACACTTCACGAAAATCGACCCTCTGCGGGGATTGGCGTGGTCGAGGTGCAAAAACTCGAGGTTGTTTTTTGCGTTTTTTGCGGTGCCCGCGCGACCCTCTGCGGAGATCGGCGTGGTCGATGTGCTAAAACTTGGTTTTTTTTGCGATTTATCACATGCCCGCGCGAACCTCTGCGGGAATCGGCGTGCTCAAGGTGCAAAAACTCGAAGTTTTTGGCGATTTTTAACATGCTCGCGCGACCCTCTGCGGGGATCGGCGTGGTCGAGGTGCAAAAACTCAAGCTTTTTACGATTTCTGCGGTTCCGCGGCGCTCTGCGAGGATCGGCGTGGTCGAGGTGCAAAAAAACTCAAGGTTTTTTACGATTTCTGCGGTTCCCGCGCGACCCTCTGCGGGGATCGGCCAAGGC